ATCTTGACTAAACCATATGTAATTTCTTAATATTCAATAAGCTGGTGATACTTCAATGAAACGCTGTCATCCCATAATTTGACAGTATTTTGCTTTCAACCTTTCACAGCTTTCGGTTGCTAAAATTTGTTGATGGAACTTGAAGCTCATTCGCTGTATTTAACAGACTGTTACTCTATATGTGGAGAATAACGAACTGTTGATTTGACAATCCTGGTGAAATCCACCTTAAATTTAGCAAAAATTCCGTGTCGTGACAGACGTGCTTTTCCGTTAGTCACTAACATTTGAACATTCTCAATTGGATTCTGAAAACATTGCTAAATACATTTTCCGCAGTTGTCTGTTGGACTGAGTATCACTCAAGCATAGTCAAAAATAACGCCGCAAGATGTAGACCTCTCTGGATCGATTCGACGCTCAACACTTCAATGTGTTTCAGATGTTCCCACTTCAGATCCGACAAGCATAAAAGCAATACATAATTTGTAAGTGAATGGGACAAAAACGACGCTTAACACACTGCCGTACATGGCAGCGAGTGTTGTAAAAGACACCGAAACGAACGACGATCCCTGTCGGGTTTACGCCCCATTATCTGTTTTCTGTCTTCTGGCAGATCCGAAAAGTGCCACACAACGGGATTTTTCTAACCCTCCGGGACTTTTGGCGCATATGTGCAATAAGCGTGGCTAAAATTAGCAGCATTTGCGGTGCATATTAATCATTAGCGAAGCTGCAGGGATTTGAATAGGTTTGAATGAGCTACAAATATACGTATACATAGTTGGGATGCATGAGTACTGTCAAGGTATGTACAGGGTTTTTCAAATTCGACTCCAACCTTCGCGTTCTCGGAAACTGTACGAGATATTAGTCCATATTTATAAAAAAATGTTTTACCTTTTGCTTTCAAAAAATAAAGCAATGCCTTCAAAGTATATGCATAAAAAGAAGTGAAGGAAAAGGTCTCGCTTCTGTAAAGTAAAAGGTGTTAACGTTTTCTTATTTATAAAAAGAAGCATTTGCTCAAAAACTAAAAGATTTGCTTCTAAAAAAAGGAATCTAGGTTACAGCAACTTTTCTCATTTAATCATTAGTTGTCCCGGCATCTTGGAGCCTGCATCTTAAAATTTGTGCATTTTCGTTTATTAAAATCTATTTGTAAGGACTTTTTTAAGTGATCTTTGGTTGATTAGTCGCAGTATTGTGTTAGTTATGGCTAATGTGGTGCATTTACGTACAAGAAAATACTACAAACCAAGACGTACACCTCGTGAGTCAGATTTCAAGACGTTGTTTAGATTTGAGGAGGAAAATGTGGTGTGGTCGGCAAATTACTTTCTTGGCATGCATGTCGAAACTCGTGGAGCAGCCCAGTCACCTTTGCAGAAAATGAAAATATTTCTGCGGTATTGTGCGAACCCTGGATTTCAGAGCGGACTAGCTGAAGAATTGGGATGTTCGCAGCCCACAGTGTCCAGAACATTTGATGACGTGCTAGAGCGAATTGTACAACAAGCCGGAGAATTGATCAGGTTCCCAAATACAGAAAATCCAATTATGCAGGCCAAAGAGAAATGGTTGACCAGGTTCCGTTTTCCCACAGCTATTGGAGTTGCACGCATATTCGTCTTGATGAAAAACCAGCCCAATTTGGAGACGAATATGTAAATCGAAAAGGTTTTGCCAGTATTAATGTACAGGTTACATGCGACCAGAATTCTGTTATAACTATACTACAACTATTTAAAACTGTAATGACTCATACGCGTGCGTATAGCGTACGACATATGTCGTTTCTGTGGCTTTGCGGTGGTCAACAGCACAGACAGAGACGGAAATAATGGCTGATTGTTCTCCGCCGGTAGAACCAATGAAATCAAAGACGCGCCTCGACCGGCAGACTCATAGGCGTCGGCAACGCATTGGAACGTGTTTCGTTGAGCGATCGCATATTGTGTGTTTTTATAAGAATTGTTGTGTGATTGTTATTGTTGTGGTTTCTGTGGTTACTGTTTTGGTTATACTTAACCATGGAGAGTACAAATGGCACGAGTGGAAGTACTGAAAGCCAGGGAACAAGTAGACGGCTTCGTAAAGCACTGAAGAGGGACGCGAAAGAAATCATGCTCAACGTGTTCAATTATCTGAACAGAACTATGTCGCAGGGAGATGCACTCGCGCGTTGTGAAAGTATGACAGGCGTTCCAGAGTGGACCATTCGCAGGGTGGTGCATGAAAAGAAGAAAACTGGAGCTACTACTGATCCAAAGTTTAATTTGAAGGGACGAAAGGCCGTTAAATTGGATGACGATAGCAAAATGGCGTTAAGGCGAACCGTACATTCATTCTTCTTTAGGAATGAGATACCAACCCTCAAGGCTGTACATGCAGCGATTAAGGAAAATGAAATTATACCCCAAATGAGCGTCGAGGTAATGAGGAAATCCCTGCACGAAATTAATTTTCGTTACGAAACGTGTAATCGGAAGTCAGTATTGATAGAGAGACCTGAAATAGTCGCCTGGCGTCGAAAATACCTACGCGAAATGATTGAATATAGGCGACAAAGCAGAAAAATCTTTTATTTGGACGAGACATGGGTAAATGCAGGTCACACAGTTAAAAAAACCTGGATAGACAAAAACGTAGTGAGTAACCGACAAGCAAGCATTGAAGGTTTGTCAACAGGTCTTCGTGGGCCGTCAGGGAAAGGTCAAAGATTGATCGTATCTCATATTGGTAGCGATAGTGGCTTTTTAGAAGAGTGTGACTTGATTTTCGTCTCTAAGAAAGGAGGTGATTACCATGACGAAATTAATGCCAGCTGCTTCGAGAGCTGGTTTAAAGAGGTGCTTCAGCGAGTTGAGCCCAACTCTGTGATCGCCATGGATAATGCTTCCTACCATAGTCGTCGAGCCAAACGTGTACCGACTATGGGATCTCGAAAAAGTGACATGCAGCAATGGTTGCGCGAAAAAGGAATCCCGTTTGACGATTCATGTGTGAAAGCGGAATTGTATGAAAAGATTAAACAGCACAAACCTGCGAACATTAGTTACGTGACTGATGAGATGGCCCGTCAATGTGGTGTCACTGTGCTGCGGTTACCGCCCTACCACTGTGAACTGAACCCAATAGAGCTCATCTGGGCTCAAGTGAAGGGTTATATTGCGCGCCATAACACAACCTTCAAATTAGGTTTTACTTGAGACTTCCATACAGCTAGTAACGCCCGAAGCTTGGCAGAATGCTATCCGTCATGTTGTGAAGGAAGAAACAAAAATGTGGCAGCTTGACCACCACATCGACACCATCATAGAGCCAGTTATAGTCAATTTCAACGAGGAAAGCTATAGCGACAGTTTATTACTGTCAGATGCAAGTGGAAGCGACGATGAATAAAGGTAATTCCCAAATTTTTTACTTACAACATGTTTCAAACCACTCTTTGTTAAGCATGTGACAAATCTAGTTCACCCATGTTAAACATTCATACCCCGCCTATGAACAGCCGACTACTGGTAGTTAAGTGATGTTCACGTGAACATCGATGAGTCATTACAGTTTTAGATAGTTATAGTATAGTATAGATGCAAGTTGGCCTGGATCAGTCCATGATGCTCATATATGGAAAAATTCGGCAGTGTGTGAAGTCATGAAAAAGACAAGAAACACTATTCTTCTAGGGGACAGTGGGTATGGTATAATGTCAAGTATTATGACTCCTTACACCGACGCCCACGAGGAATATCAGAGAGTCTTTAACAGGCTGCATACATCAGAGCGAGTTGTGATTTGGGCAAGTAAAGCGGCGATTTCATATCCTGAAGTATGGATGCAGAGTAAAACTGACCAGTATTCCAAAAGTTATAATTGCGTGTGCTGTGTTGCCCAATATAGCTAAGCAATTAAGAGATGAAGATTTTCAAGAAACTGACGAATATTAAGGACAGGACTTGCCATTTATAGAGAATGAAAATGTAGATGCTATGCGCGCACAAGAACAAAGGCGGCGAGAGGAATTAGCTCGTCTTATTACCAATAACAATATAGGTGTATTATTAGGATTAAAACTTTCATGTAATGCTATGTATATGTCGTTTACTTCAAACGTACAAAGATATATTACTTAAACTAAAAATAAACTTACACGTTTGAACTGGAAAAAAACGTTTAATTTTTTTTTTTGTTAAAAATGATACATATTACATATACACATTTTCGTGGTGCGTCATCTAAATCTTATTTTGTCCCTATTATGTTCAAATAACATAAGAAATATGCCTTTTGTTCAGAGTTGTGAAGTATAAAAATGTAAGTACTCAAAGCTGTAATATATTTGTGAATACTATAAGACAAACTCCGAATCAAAACTGTTTGTTTTTAAAGTGATCCAAAGTGATCCCAGTCAGTAGCCAGGCTTCTGCAAATGCTGAGGAAGATCAGAGATGCAGCGGTTACTCATTTGAGGATTGTAATATTTGAATATTATTACATTATTAAAATTTGCATATTTAGCATGGTTTTGTGTACAAGGGTAGGTACATTTTCACAAAAAGTTATGTATTGATGATGATCAGCACCTCTATGAAAAATTCATGTCGTTATCCATGGACAATAATATTATTGTTCTTATAAAAAAAAGAAATCTGAATTATAGTAACATACCAACACAGTTCAATTTAATCCTAATTTTTGATTTATGCAGGTGCCAACAAAGGCTGGGGAATGAAAACATCTGAACCATAATAATGTTAATACTGATTTGTTTGTACAAAAATGTATGAGATTTATATAATACATATATATTTAGGTATTTGCAGTACATGTTTTCTTCAGAACCCTTCCAGATTAGTAAGTAGATATGAGTGATCTTATAAGAGCTTGTGTTATTGACGTTGCTATTGTAATATAAAAAAGCACTTATTCGTCAAGATAGTGCGAAATGTTAATAACACATGTTGTTATAAGATCTCCCATATCCCACTAAATTTCTATATATAAAAGTATAGCAATCTCAGAATTATTTGTAGAGCTGGCAACGTTGCACCCTCAAAAAATGGCCGCTGACAACCACACAAGTCACCGTGTTGCCATTGAATAGCATGGAATGAAACCTTCTTCAGTGTATTTGATTTGTGGTGGGTATTCTCACAAAATCTATGACTCCACTGTCGAAAGGGTTTAAAAGGTCCAGCGGTCATGATCTTTCTCAGGAGAATAATACTAGGTTAAATAGAAGCTCAAGTGTTAATCATCAATCAAATCAAAAACTATCCATCGCCAACTTACTTGCTGATAAACTCGCTGCAGCAGACACCGGCCTGTTTCTATGTGTAGCGGCGAGTCCTGTAGTACCCCCGTACGTGTCGACTGGCGTCGTTGAGTACGGCCAATCAGATCCATAAACGCTATTTTGGAGTGCAGTATATGCCCCAGCACCCGCTACTGGTGCTATCCTATGTCCACCAGTGCCTGTCGTTGTGAAGGTGGTTGGTAGACGGTTGAAGCCTGGCAGACCACCGACGTTGGCCCCCGCCGACGCCGCTGGTTTGTATTCTTCAGGTGATGCCAATGTCAAAGCGTTCGAGGTTGTGATGCCTGGAAAGAGACGATTGGTGGTGAATAGAGATGGCCAAAAATAACCGGTTTTTCAAAATGAACTGACAAGTTTTATCTGGTTACTTTATAATAATAACTATTTATTAGTCATGTTGGGTCACAGGATAGCAAGTTTACGCACAAATGTGTACAGGGTGCGCCATCTTTTATGTCGGTATGTAAACATGAAATAACTTTGAAAGCGAAAAACTGATTTCTACATATCGGGTATTTTTATTAAATATGGTCCTTTACAATTTACTGGGACTAGTTTTTGAACGCAAGTGGCCACCTCCATTGGCCAAAACGAAATGTGCCCGTTTTGCTGCGTTTTCCATTACTTTTTCGAGCATCTCTGGTGGTATAGCGGTGATTGAGATACGAATGATTGCATTGAGTTTTTCAGTGGTCTGGGACTTGGTGGCGTACACTTGGCTTTTCGCCTTTTCAAATAACCGCACTTTTCGGTCATGCAACGGCATTTCGTGAATCTCCAAAAATCAGGTTCAGGATCAACCATGCGAGCTACTATTTGGGCGTATTCCAAGCGACGTGGTCGGTCAGTTGGCAATACCTTTTGTGTTAACTGCACCTTATAAGGAAACAAATGCAAAATCTTTCAAAATGCGCCGTGGTTCCACTGATGCCAAAATGCTGAGCGCGGTGACGATACGACATTTTTGGGTTCTGTGCAACGCTGTCTCTGACCGCTTCAACCAATTCATTGGAACTTCTTGGTCGTTGATGAACGGTATGTTGACAATTCCCACTGACCCGTACTCAAGAAAATTCGAAACCAAACGACGGATAGTGTTGTCAGACGGTGCCTGTAACTATTCGGCGCGTTGTTTCGGTGTAAAGCGATTCATGACTAAAATTGTAGTGAATTGACGTTTCAGAAACACGTATAACCAAATCACTCGGTTGATAAATATCAAAGGCATTCGATGTTTCAACACCGACATAAAAGATGGTGCACCTGGTATACCTTATACTTTACTATTATTGACCAGTCAAAACTATCATGCGTATAATATAAAATATATAAAAATGTAAGAGTATATAAAAAGACGTCTAATAAAACGACATAAAATAAGAAAAATAAAATAACAACAGTTAAAATTAATCAAACCGGGACAATCGCACATTAAAAAGTCCTCAACAAAGTAAAAAGCTTCTTCTAGTAAAATTTCGTACTGTTAAATGCCAATAACCGGAAGGAAGGTTTTTGTTTTTAGGTCTACACAGATCTATGTAATTATGAGCGCAGTGAATATTACGGTCGTGTTGTTTCTGTTGTGCTTGACCACATCTCCAAGGTCCCACCCCATATGAGAGTATTATAGTTTTTTTTTATATATAGTTAAAGCATTACCCATTACCGCTCAGTCAGTCAAAATAAGTCGTCACATCACTGCTAAATGAGATGTATCACTTAAAAAAATTGGCGGCTTTACCTTGACCATATCATTCAAGGTCACGGATACTGTTAAATCCACATTCACCATTGGGCAATCTGGAATAAATATTAATAGCAGTTGTGATAATTGTTCTCTGTCAATATTACATGTTACAATAATCATCTATCAATCCGTAGATCGGGGGAGTGGTGTCCTGATCATGACCTTCAAAAGTTGCGTTTTCGAAATGCGTGAAAGTAGATGTTTGGCTTTGTCCATTTTCCTGGTATAAAGATAGATAGATGAATAATTTCTTATTTACTCATAAGCCAAGGCATAGAACATTAAAAAGAAGTACCTATACTAGCCAGCTGAAACTAATTATAAAAGAAATATACAGTTACAAAGATTCTTATAAACTACTAAGAATTCATGTGCCTTCACAATTCATAAACAAGAACAATGTATTTAATTACAACAATTTTCCATATAGACAACGTTATCAATAGAATTATGTATAGGAGCAACAATGATATAATACAGTACAAAATATTCTAACTTACCTCTAGGGTAAGGTAAGTCTATACTTATCCTCAAGAAAATCATTCAATGAGTAAAATGCCTCGGAGAATAAATAAGGAACGATAATCTTTTTAACACGGATTTCCGGTAAATTATCTACGTACATTTGAATGACAACTATTGAGAATTGTTGTAACAGTATGTTAAGCATCCTTCTGTTTAAGATTAAAGCTACAATGATCTGGGATATGATCTTCTTTATGCCTAGTCATGTGATTATATCTAATTGTAGCATCGTCAAACTGGTCTCTGTTTTTAAAAACAAACATAAACGCGTCCAATATATAAAGAGAAACAACAGTTAGAATTTTGTAAGGATTTCTTTGCAAGTTTCCATTTGTTTGATTTTAAATAGGGTCCTTATGCATTTTTTTTCTGAAGAATCAAAACCCTGTTTATTTCCCGCGGGCTGCCCCAGAAGGTCAGACCATAACTAATTCTAGACTGAACAAACGCGTGGTATGCCGATAGGCCAGCGTCGAGACATTCCTAATCACTCTCAACGCATAACAATACTGACAGACACAAAATGCAACATTCTCAACATCCACCCCCCAGTCCAGTCGCCTGTCAAACCTATCAAGAAGGATGAAAAAGCTTTAGGAGTTCTACGATGCTTATGGAAATGACTTGACTGTCTTTGTATCTACACATATATTTTTCTGAATTTTATGATCCTTAAATGTACCACCCATTTCGCGTAACGTTTATTGTGTTAATCTGTGTATGGTGGTTCTCCGAATATTCCGTCAAGTAGATTGACTCAGTGCTTACGACGCATTGATATACAACAAGCACGGACTGACAAACCGATATAAATGGGAAACGCGGACTTGTATGATACAGACATCTTTACGCAAAAGAAAACTTGTGAACCAAAGTTCGAATATTAGAAAAGGATAATTTTTGCTGTCCCAATATCTGTATTTTTATAAGAAAAAGAGAGAACAGCATCCATTCTATTTCCAAATAAAATGCACTGGATTTTAGGAACATTAAGATAGAGATCATGAGCCGAAAATTACCCTTCAAGTGCGCCACAGGCCTTCGGAATACTAGCCAACATATATCATGATTTTCTGTACTAAGAATTAATGTATCATCAGCATAAAGAATGGTCTGCTCATCCATCACCCCAGGCAAATCATTGGTGTATAGGATGTTCAGCAATGGTACAAGGATAGAAGCCTGAGAAACCTACTTGGCGACTTTTATCTTTTCAAAGTAAGTTTACCATAACCTTCAAGGTCACTGTCAAGGTCAACTCAATGTTCATCATTGACCAGTCTTTCAGGAATCCTAGCAACAGTATGTTTTACTTCTTCTCTGATAATATTATTTTAAGGCTTATCTTATCCTCCCATATTTATTAATAACCCCTACCTGGGAGTTTCTGCGTGCCGTATGCAGTAAAGGGAGTTGGTCCCATTGGGACCTTTGGTCGTCATGTTGACATCTACCAGTATGCGAAATTTTAACAAATTTAGCCGCAAGCCATTTTCCATAAAAACTGCCTGAAATTTCTTAATATTCAAAAAGAAAACATAACTTCATAAAAGGAGAGTGCAGACGCTGACACGGAACATTAGAAATCTGGAGGCCAATAAAGGCGTCCTACAATAAATTGTAGGAATGACTGACGATACTGCCCTTAGTGAACCTACCTATTCAAAATTCAATTCCGTCTTTTGAATAGACGACTTGTCACTTTGCTTTGAAATTTCAAACAAAGGCGTGAGAAGTTTAGAGTCAATCTACTCGACGCCATTTTTTTCTGTATACAGTAATGGAGTTAACTGAAGTTGGTTTTGGAAATGTCGATTTACGACTTGCCTTGTTAGTTTGGTATGATGTATGACGAATACGTAGTTAACTTAAAAAAATTACAACTGTAGTTTGGAGTAATTAAAAAAATGTCATGGTACTTTAACGATATCTATATAAGCTCATTACTGACCTGACGCACTGCGCAGAAACATACAGAAACTGATAAATTGTCGAGCGATTGTTTCTAGCGATATTCCTCGATAATTGTGAAAATGATGACGATTGCACTGACCTTTCGCGATACGTTGCAATATGATTTCGTTATACACACGTTACCGGATTGTTATATCACTGAATCAGTCCTTCCCTACAGGCTAGGCGATAGACCCATCAAAAATCGAGTGAAGTTGACATTATTTAACACAGTACTGAAAATTTGCTGATGACTACTTCTCTCGTCTAAATTTCTACCAATGACAAACGCGCAATTTTGAGTTACAAATGGTTTCTAGATGGAAAAACTGTATAACAGCACCTGTCAGCAGTTTACCCGCGGCAAAATTTAAAACCAAAAAACGACGCTAAGCAATGTTTCTGATTTATTGTCAATAAATTTTATGATAGTGAAAATGAGTCGCTTTGGAAGCGGTTCTTTGACTAATATTGATCTGATTAAGGTAAAGAAATACGAGCTTTTGAAAACTACAAGTTTAGAGTAATTAAACTTAATCCTGAAAGATTGGGCATGGAATATAAAGAAAGAAAACGGTGAAAATAACAGAGAACTAGTTGCGAAGACAATGTGGAATACAGTTGCAAGAAAATGCAAGAGATGTATTTTATTAAGTGGAAAATAATTTTTGATCCATTTAAAGGTATGTATTATCTTTAAGTCGACATGGAAAGCTCGAAATGCGAAACGAAGTAATTTGCAGATGTGCGTCCAATTAAAGGAAATCGAGCTCTGCTTCATTAAAATTGGAAGAATATCACGCAATGGTTTTACTACACTCGGACGGCACCGCAGCGAAAATTTTACCAGATCGCTTCAGTAGGACTTGCCTGGAGAGGTGGAGAAGCAGTCGATTGCAGACTTCATTATTTTAAAGAGGAAGTGGATAATTCTGGGATAAAAACAGGTAGATAACATAGTTACATGTTTTTTAAAACAACTATAAAATAACTAATTTTCAAAAATCCTCCTTTTTAGGAAGAGTAGAGTATGATACTTTCTTCAATAAAACGGCACAGGGTGGAGAAAAAAAAATGGTCGATAGTAAATGGCTGGTCTGCAACACGAAGAATCCTACCTTTTGTCCAGTCCGTCTTTTTAAAATTCTGATGGCTAAACGTTCATCTAGAATAATAACTGATAAATAGGAACCAGTAACAATCAAGTGGATGGTACAAAAACACTCCAGTGGGAAAAACGAGCTTTCGAAATGGGCTTAAGAAGCAGCAGTGAAGGCAGGATTAAATACAAAAGAAATAAAACAGCTGTCACGTATGCACGATCAACCCAATCCACAGCTTCGCTGATGACAGCACTCTGCATGCAGGACTTCAGAGCGACAAGTCGATCTCTGCCGCTGAGCTGGAAAAAAGAAGACTAGCGACGACTTCATCTCTGACGAGAGACCGGGAGGTTATCACTTATTGGAGACGCAACAATCTTCTACAGCTTAATGCTTCCACCTTGACCCACAAAAAGCATCCTAGTGCTCATCCGGTTTCGATGGATGGCGGAGTTCTGCCAAAGAGCCATTCATTTCGGCTATTCGAAGTTCAGATCACCGAGGCCTGATCTGGCACGAACACGTCTCGTCGATAGAGGCAGCTTGTTTAGGGCTAAGAGGTACTTCTCTCCGCATGACCTTCTCACTCTATACAAGGTCCAGATAAGGCCTAGCCTCGAGTAGTGCTCACATTTGGGGTGCTGCCGCCCCGACTACGTTATTTATGTTCGATGCAGTCCAGAGGAGGGCTGTCCGCCTTTAATATTTGTGAGGCAAAAATAGCAATCGGTAGTATGGTCTCTCGGTTCTCTCCAAACCATTGGTACTGCAAAGGGCATTTTACGATTGTCGCCTCTTAACCGGCCTGTTAACAACGTTACTCAAGTCTTACAACATATATGGGGGGCCCATAGTTTGTCTTGGTCGCCAACTTTAATTCCAAAATGAAGTTCGTATGCATTCAACACAAGGGGAATAAAAGTACGCTTTTGGGATTTGAAAGTTAGCTCTCCTCACACATAACAAAAACTGTTCGCACTATTTACACAATTTCTGGGCATTGTCCATAAAGCCAGTCTCGATCACAAAAACTAAAAACCACCGTTTTAACAAAAATTAATAGTACTCAAAACATCTCAGTACTCTTTAACACAGAAAAGGTAACTGACTTGGCTGCTATTAGTCTACTAGTAACCGCAATCTGCTGTCTGAACATACAGCTCGCATATAATAAACAGGAATAGATATGTCTTAAGATTATGCAGGGTGACTTTGAAGTTGAGTCATTAATTTTCAGATAATGATTGTAGAAGGAAGATAAACCAAAATATGTGTGTAAAAATAAAAAAAAAATAAAAAAAATTTTTACCTTGTTTTATAAAGTATCCTCCCGACAAGTATTTCAGTGCGGACCTGTATTTGATCGTGAGGTCCCCTGTGAGGTCTTAAGTCACCTGATTCACGAGCCCGTTGTACTACATTAACAAAGGCACGAGGGGTTGGTTGCACTCGATTGGGAAACCGATCCGCATAAACATGTGCCATTTTTTATTTCGTTTGAGCCACGCAACAGACACTATTCACACGCGACTGAAACTGACTGTATGTATAACTGAACTGAATTGTAATCGTAAAAACATCGTTCCAAATTCTTTCGCTTTTTTGTTTCCGATGCGATGAACCGTTGTTGCCAAACACGAACACATGATATTATTGAGACAGGGCGGTACTCAAACTTCCAAAGGGCTATAACTTTGTTACTTTAATTTTACCAGAAAAATGGTAAAGGAAAAAAACATTTCTTTTGATCAGATCTACACACTGTTAAAATAAATGACCCAACTTCGAAGTCACCCTGTATATGTGCGTCATCGCATAAGCGCCGAGAAATGCAGCAATATGAGATGTTACGTATTGTAATTCATAAAGGTAGATGTTAAAGAATATCTGTGTGTGATAGAAAAATTCTGTTTTTCGATTTGATTTAAGGGTCTTAAAATACATAAGATACACCCAAAAATT